GACTAGTTATTTGTCACTTCTCATTTTCAAGATAAGAAGTTGGCTAATGTTTCTCCTCTTTTCAAGGGAAGTAATAAAAATTTCCCAGTAATTATAAACCTATCAACCTTACATCAGTTGTATGAACAAATTTTAAAAGTCTGTTAGAAAATAATTTCCAAAGTCATTTAATAAAGTTTAGAATTTTGTTGGATAGAAAAGCAAGGTTGAACTAGAGTAAAATCTTGCCTTACTAACATTTTGACAATCTTTGAAGAGGTGACTGCTTATGTAGATGAGGGTACAAGTGTGGATTTGTTGTATCTGAATATTAGAATGCATTTGACAAGGTGCCACATAAAAGGCTTGTTAAAATAAGTTACCTCTGTAAGTGTGGGGGGATAGGTTGGATTAGTGGATAGAAAACTGACTAGACGGAAAAAAGCAGAGGGTTGTTATAAATGAAGTTCAGTCAAACTGGATTAATGTCATATGTGGGGGTACCTCAAGGCTCGGTGTTAGTCTTTTTGATTTACAATAATGACACAGATGAAGAAATGGTCAATAGATTATTTAAATTTGCTGGTGACGTTAGAGTTTTGAGTGTTGCTACTGCTTTAAAAAAAATTTGGGTGAATAAATGGCAGATGCTTTTAATTGTATAATAGATGCAAGGTAATTCATGTGGAATATCACAGTTTGAATTATGAGTATAATTTTGATGATAATAATCTTAATAGTATTAAGAAAAAAATAAAGATCTTGGTGCTCTAGTTGATCAGTCTCTAAAGCCATCCAAATAATGTGCTATTACTAATGTTACAGCAAATAGGAATTTAGGTTGTATCTACAGAAATATTGAATACAAGTCTAAAGAGATTATAATTTCATTGTGTAAGTCATTGGTTAGGTCATAACTAGAATATTGTGCTCAATTTTACGAAGGGTTCAGAGCAGGGTTAATAGTACAACACCCAAAATGGAAAGTTTGTCATATGAGGATAGGTTAAGATCTCTGAACTTGTTTTCTCTTGAAAAAAGAAAAGTTAGAGGGAATCTAATTGAGATGTTTAACCCTACGAACACGGGATGGGTGGAATCCGTCCACCTTGTAACCAAGAGAGTATTCATGAGAGTAATTGTACTATAATTTTTGATAACGTACATGAATCTTTACAAAATTTTGCAGATTATTAGTAAACATTACAAAGATCTCATACACAAAATATCATATTTTCAAATTATGTATTAAGATTTGTTTATTAAAAATTTGCTTGTGAATTTTTTCTTTCAGAATATTGACTATCCAACATGCAAAGTAATTTTGATTTTAAGATTATAAATACTTTCCTTTATCTGAAATTTGTCATGTTTCATTTGTGTAATCTCTGTATCCTTCTAGATAATCATAAAACGTTTTTTTTTTTTTTTATAAAACTTTACATTTAATCTGTTATTTTATCAATATTAACTCTATATGGTGTTGGTCAATTTGACCAACTTCGTAACCATCATAAAAATGAGGAAATGAATCTAAATTACCTTTTTTGTTCTAGAATGACTACAAACTGTAACTGGAACCACAAATGTTTATTTTAAATAGCTTAAATTTTGTAACAGTATACATCTATTTATATTTATTAATTTTTGTTTTATTGACCTATGAACTGTGTCTGACTAAAAATACCAACACAAGTTGAAAATTACACGGTACACGTGTAGCTCACGTTACCATATCAAATGGTATAATTCACATGCTGCTGGCATGTATACCCCATAAAGATTTTTATTATTTTTCTTTTATTAACTTACCTAATAATTTTATATTTCTATGATTTTAGTTACTTTTATAATAATAAATAATGAAAAGAAATGAAAAATAAAAAACCTTGCAAGTAAATATCAAACATTTTTATCTTCAGTAAAGCTTTATATTTTATTTGCTATTTTCTTTATTGTAACATTATATTTGACTCTCCAGGTAAGTAATCAAAGTATAACAAAAATAAAGGTTGTAAGTGCAAAATAAAATGTATAGTACTGTTAGTATTGATCACAAAATTTCAAAGTACTTATGGTCAGAGTTTACACTTCTCACTTTTTCACACTATTTATTTTATTACTAGCAGATGGCTTAAAAACTAGAAGAAACAAAATGAATAATACTCTGTTCTTTTCAGCACATACAACAAAGTTCCAAAGTAAATCTCCTGATAGTTTCTTCTAATCTTTGTACAACTATTTCCTCTGTTTATTCTACTGTTAGCGGCTGAAGTAAAAACCTGCCATATATAAAACAATGAATCACCATTCCTGTTTAGGTGTTACCATACTTTGAGTAATTTGACACTGTCACTATCAAATAAGCTCATACGGTGCAATTCCCAGAACCTTTCCTGCTTTGAAAACGCAGTGGTAAGATTTATCAACTTATTGACAGTATAATGGTTACAACGAAAACTGGCTAAAGTATAATAAAATGATTATTTAAGGACTTTGTAGAAAGTCTGAGCCGATCCAATAAATCAATAAGCGGAAGTATCCTACAAAAACCATTCAAATCACAGCTCCAAGAACACAGTGGAGTAGAATTTGCCAGCTTCTTTACAAGTGGTTGCAACAAGAATTGTCTAAATTACTTTATAAGTGTGAGATAAAATATTTATGACATGGCTCTGTCTTGGGTGGTTTGGACTTAGCAGTGGTATAAATGTGAAAGTGCTTAAGAACATCCCACTTCCTATTTTACCATGTTTACACAGTAACCAATAAATGCACAGTTTCCAATATTTTGTAAGGTACAGTTAGGTTTTGGTTACTATACATTACATATGTGTGTGTGTGTAATTATTATTATCATTTACTATTTACAAATAGATATTTAAATTTCAGTTACTGTTCTTAAAACATAGAACAGTAAATAAAAATAAATAAATAAATAAATATTTGGAAAATAATGATCTCCACTACTTGTGATGTTTTGAAGTTCTTTTTTTTTGCATTCACAAGTCATACTTGCTAACTCTCGTCATAGGCCTTGCCTAAATTCATATGTTTATGTAGAATAAAATAATTTTTGTCGACTTAATATATGCATTTTTGAATACTAAAATATTATAAATGACTATACTGATACCATATAAACCTATTGTAATTTAACAGGCTTCCTAACTATGCTGTATTTGGGTCTCAAAAAATCTAATTTATGTTTGGAAAATAGCATTGATCATAATATTTCAAACTCTCAAACGGTATAAAAGATTTTCTGTCATAAGTAACTAAGAAAGACTAACAGAGTTACATAGAGGAAATGTAGAACTTTCGATTGGTTATAAACTTATAAGTATAAAAATACAGGCATAGATAAACATCTTCTCAAATGATGAAGTGGTGGGCAGAGTCAATATGGTGGATTCAATAAATATTATATCTCAGCAAATAGAAAAGGTAGGAGGTTCTTATTTTATATTCTAGCTTGCCAATATCAGAAATTTAAGTTTATAATTTGTATGAAACTATGGAATTTGTATTGTGGGCATCATAAAATGTAATGTGACAAACCCAGAAGATGATGTACCAATGTACCACACAAATATTGATATTTAGCTATTTTTTATAATATTAACTTTCAAATTAAAATTAACTTTAAATCTACAATTTGACAGCAAGTTTATTGACATACATTCATAAAATAGCAGTTCAATAAAAGTTTGAATGTAAGTCTACTGGATTCTTAAGGAAAATGATAGTGTTGATGTATCATCCTTTTCATATTTAATAGTGAGAATGGTAGGGCAAGGGGATACAAATTCTGGCAGGGTAGGAGTCATCTTCAGCTAAGACTGCTATATTTTTCTAACAGGGCGATTGGCCCTTGGAAAGGGTTGTATTTAGGTGTGATGGATGCAGTTAATTCAAGGGAGTTTAATATTTCATTCCAGCTCTGAAATGTCTGGAATAACAAACAAATAACCCTTTCCAAAGAGGGATATGTTGGGTCAAAGACCAGATATTTCTTCATTCTAATTAAAGTACATTCAGATGTAAAGAAAAATAATGAGCATTGCTTAACCTATCTTATAAAGTTGTTATCAACCAGTGTGTAACATCAACTTCATAATATTTAAATCAGCTTATAAGAAAAAAGTGCTTTGAATTAAAAAAAACCATCAAACCAAGACTTGCCTTGAAAACTCAAGCATCTGTAATATTACTACTATTACTGTGGTGTAAAGCAGAGTTTACTCGAATATATAAGTAACATTGCAAGTAAAATTTAATGAAACAACTTAAGCTCTAACAATTAAAAAGATCCAGTAAACCACCAAACCAAGATTTGCCTTGAAAACTCAAGCATCCGTAATACTACTACTATTACTTGGGTGTAAAGCAGAGTTTTCTCGAATGTATAAGTAACATTGCAAGTAAAATTTAATGAAACAACTTAAGCTCTAACAATTAAAAAGATCCAGTAAACCATCAAACCAAGACTTGCCTTGAAAACTCAAGCATCCGTAATACTACTACTATTACTTGGGTGTAAAGCAGAGTTTACTCGAATGTATAAGTAACATTGCAAGTAAAATTTAATGAAACAACTTAAGCTCTAACAATTAAAAAGCAAACTCTATCAAGATTGTGTATATTCTTTGAATAAAGCTTTTAACAAGGTTTGCCAATTATGTTCACATCAGATAACAGAAGGTAAGATTCTGTGTTCATGATTTTACAACTAGATTAGACATACTTTATGACTATGCAAGAAGTTATATATTATGCTAATTCTTGTTTTTCCCATCAAGTTTTATTTATTAAAAGGTCTGTGAACTATGCGGGCCAGCCTTAGCCTAATAGTTAACAAGGGTTCACATCCACTACTGCAAAATATGCCTAAACATATTATAGCCATGGGTGTTTTGAAAGAATGTGGTCATATCACAGTATTGTAATATTGAAAATTTTTTCCTTATTTCTTTACATTAAGCATATCAGACAAATTCTTGCTGTGTATAACTTCTTACCTGGTTCATCATCAACAAAGTTACAAAGAGTTACTTTATCAGGAGATACAGACAGAGTTACCTCTTCAACACTTGCTTGGAAGTTTTGAATGCCATCTGACATTAGTCTGAAATAAAAGATAATACACAAATATAACAGTAACAATATATGCTGCACATTTGTATATATATTTTTACAAGTAGAATATAAGACATATCTTCACTTCACATGAGAAGTCATAAATAAAAAGATTAAATTTTGGCACATAAAATAATATCACACTTAATGACATTAATTTTTTTTCAATTGTAAAAACCTATAATAATTGCATTACACTTTGCCAGATTAAATTAGCAAAACATAACATGGATGTTTATGTCATATTTTGTGAGTTTAGGGTTTTCATTTTCAAATATTTTTGTGGCTCCAGTGCAACTCTGACAAGCTTGTTTTGAGCCTGTTTGAAATATTAACAGGTTTCCACATTTATAATTCTAAAATAATAATTTTGTTTTATTTAACACAAAGTTTGTAAATTGGCACTTACCACTGGGAATTATCTAGGATGAAGAAAATTGTTCAACAATTTATATCAGTGCAAAATTGTAAAAATTCTACATTTAATTATCATATATTTCAACAAACAATTTCTAATTTCTTTCAATAATACTCAAAGCAAGCCAACAAACTATCTTCAGATATTGGATCTATGTATACAAAAGCTGTTGTCAAAGAGTCATATAGTAACAACTGTTACATTCAAAGTAGTTGGTTTATGATAATATGATTGGTTATAATATGATGCAGAAAAGAAGGTATTTCAATGCAATGCTAAACAAGAAAGCCAAGAAATAGGAAAATATGTCAGTACTGGATGAATCAGTACTGGCTTTTTTTTTGCATTTTGAAGACCCAAACTCTAGAGCCAGTAGCCAATTTTGTTGACATATATTAGTTAGTAAAGTTTAGATATCTAACTAACTCTTGTTATATTATAGAAGCCTTAACACATTCACATACTTATATATGTATGGATCAGCAATTCTGAGCACGTTATACACTTGGCAGATGATTTTTTTCTAAATTTTCCACTTTATAAAAATACCATAGTTACTTGTACATTGCAGTGTAATCCAGTTCTGTGATTATCTAAACAAAACAACAGTTATTTCAATCTATTATGGAAATATTCTTATATAATGCACATGCAGTGTTATATTTGATATCTAGTATACAATTTATCTTACAAGTCACAAATTTAATAAGGCCTAATAAAAAATAACATGGAAATGCTGAATGATCAACTTTAAGGACATTAATATATACTTTAAATATTGTTACTGCTAAAACAATCTATATAAATATAATATGTTTGTTGTATGTTCATGAACTACTTCTCAGGGTGTGGATTGATCTTCACCAAATTTGGTAAGGAAGTTCACTGGCTCCATGGGAAAAAAACATGCAAATTTCCAGTTTTGCATTTTGCAGTTTTTATGGGCATTTTTTACCACTACCTCACCTCCTGTGGATGGATCTTCATTAAATTTGGTATTGTGGTTCATTGGGTCCATGGGAAGATACATACAAATTTTCAGTTTTGCATTTTGCAGTTTTATGGTTATTTTTACATTTTTTACCACTACTTCGCACATTGTTGATGGATCTTCAGCAAATTTGGCATGAAGGTTTGTCGGGTCCGTGCAGAAACATGAGTGAACTTGTGGTTTCAAATTTTGTGTTTTGTAGTTTTATGTACATTTTTTACAATTATATAAGGGAAGCAACTTTTCATGTCATAATATAACCTTCATTAATCATGAATTTACATAACTTCTGTCCAGGGATGGGTACTCCAGCTATGTTTTAAATATTTTTTGTAGATTTTTAGTATATTTCATTTGATGTAGAACTTAATAAACAAATATACATGTTCATGTTCAACTACAAAGTAATAGGATCAACAATGGTTTAAAATATACTTAAAAATCTTTATGCAATAAATCACTTTTTTCACAATGTAATTCCTCCATTATTAATTGTAATATAATTTTTCTAAAAACCAAATTTATACTTCAAGCACCTAAATGAATCTTGTAGTAACTTCATTGATGAAGCGCAAGAGTTTAATACATTTTTCACTGCATGGCTTTATGCCAATAGACATATCGACAGTTTTCTTGGTAAATGAATTTCAGATAGTGAATGAAGAAGTCATTCATGAAGAACAATTGATTAAGATGCAAGGAAGTTAACCCTTTGATTAATGATCATACATAATGTATATTCCATTTTACAATACAAATTTTAGAGTAATAATAGAATCCTAAACATTTTTATTTACACAATGGATAAAGGAAGAGTACATTTTTTAATTTCCTCATATTAAAAGTCTATAAACCTTCAAAGTCCACCTACCTTATTAGATCAAAAACCTTCAAAGTCCACCTGCCTTATTAGATCTATAAACCTACAAAGTCCACCTACCTTATTAGATCTATAAACCTTCAAAGTCCACCTACCTTACTAGATCTATAAACCTTCAAAGTCCACCTACCTTATTAGATCTATAAATCTTCAGAGTCCACCTATCTTATTAGATTTGCCATCTCAAATGAAAGCACTTTATCATACTTGTTAAAATCTGGAAATCTGCTCAAAAGGTAATTGTGCAAACTATTTCAGCTATTGCAAATTGTAATGAACTGTTAAGTGGCCAGGTATTGTAATTAAATCTTCTGAGCAAATAGTCATTCATAATAAATTTTTAAACTGATAATCACTAAAAGACTAAGGTACATATTTCCCAAACTTAATTCAAATGATGCAAATCTAGTTTCAAAGACCGGTTTTATTTACAAATGAGCTTTGCAGTTACTAACCTTCATCAGCCTTTAATAATTGCTTTATGAGCTCTCCTAAAAAAAGTAGTGTTTATGCTACATTAATAACATATTAAACACACATTTTCTAATATTAACAACTTTGCTCACTGTAAAACAAAGGTTAAACTAATAAAATGAAAATTACACAAGATGCATTACTGTGATTTATTGAATGGTCTATTTTTCTTTATGAGCTCAAAATAATACATAAAAATGTTTACACTCCCACTACAGACTTGGCCAAATCAACCAAGTTCGTGGCCACAAATTGACCTTTATAGTTTCCATACTATATCTTCTAATATGTTTTGTTTACCTTCACAATATTTCACAAGCTTTCAGCAAGCAGTAAGTCTATTGTAGATAAAAATTCAGAACTTTTAGTGAAGTATTTTCACTAAAAATTTCTCAAAGTGTTATATGCACCAAGTGCAAAGTGATTTTCCTGTTAAGATTAAAAATACTTTTCTTCATCTGAAAATTCTAAAATTTCAGTTATGTAATCTGTAAAACCTCCTAACTTTTTCGAACTTTTTTTCTGTAAAATTTTATATTTTACCTACACTAACTCTAAACAAGGTTGGTCAATTTAAGCAACCAAGTAATCACCATAAATAAAATACATCTCAATTACCAGCACAAAAATTAAACCTAGAGAAGCTTCCTTCAGAAAATGCCCAAAGGGAAAGCTTATGGTGTGTAACACAGGATTCATATAATTTGGTCAAAGAAGAATACCATGACTTAATTCAATTACAAGCTTCCTACCTATCAATTATATCAATTTCATTTCTTACAAGGCCTACATCAAATTAGAATGTGTGCTTTTTCCTTCTTTTTATATTAATAATGACTATGATTATGAAAAAAACTAAACACATGATAAAGCAGATTACACTGTCAAGTGTACAATCACAAATATCCTACCTATCTGTTATCTTAATTTCTTTAGACAATGTAGAAAATCAAATTACAACATGTACTTTTTTTGTTTTTTTTATATGTATTTTACATGTTTTTAAGTTCTTTGATCTTTTTGTATAGCTCTTCTTTTACAGGTTACTAACTTGTTTGTCCTTAGCATATCAGAGCAAACTGTTTCAGCTTTCCTTTGCTTTCAACCTTCAAAATAAGTTCATCTGTTGATTTTTTAAGAGCATTTGCATCTTTCTCAATGTATGTTTTTTTTTTATTTCATCAATTTTATCCATGATAGATTTTTGCTTGAGTATTTTGCTTTCATTTTCTTTGTGTGTCTTTTGCTCATCAAGATAGGTATAATACTTTTGTCTTGTACCAGCTGCAGATAGTAAGAGGGCCTTTGTAATCTCTATGTTTTGTACTCCTCCAACTGAACTGAGATGATCACATATAAGAAACTAGGCTGTACAGTTTTCTATTGAAGATTTTCCATCTCAATCTGACATTCACTGAAAAGCCTCTCTCCACCAAGGTATTCCATTGAGACAGAAGCAGCAAGACCTACACAACTTCCCACAGCTTTTCAATTACTTTGCTGCATGCCACTGTTTTACATAAAAGGTTATCCACCCAACATTTAGCATAGTCACTAAGTTCTGCTTTTCTTCTAGTTACTCTACTTTAGTATCTGAGAATGTCATCATAGCTGTTCTCATCAACATGTTTTTTGCAGTCCCTTTCTGAGCTTTTTTGCATATGATTCCTGATATTTAGCCATTTCACATGTATCCAAGCCTGCCATGTTGTACAACTTCAGCATAAGTAGCAGCAAGCACTCTTTACTTTCCATCCTAAATTCAGATTTTCATTCTTCACTGATTTTCTCATTTGCCATCAATTCCTTCAGTATCTTCTCTGCCATAAATCTAACATTTATTTTGTTTGGATGGCAGTGGACTTTTCTGTCAGCAACAATGCTTATCAGTTTGGGCATAGTGAGGGCTTCAGCAATCACATCTCCCTTAATGAACCTTTGCAATGACAAATTTACTCATATTGAAGAGATCTCCTGCATGAAATGAAATCATTGGTTTCTCTATCTGCTATCCAGTCAGAAAGAGGGTCAATTCTTTTGCAAGTGATAGGTGAAAGGCAAGTTTGGCAGGCTGTTGGATATACAAGACTGTTTAGTGTATGAATTATTATTTACTTCATTTACTGATTTAATACTTAATGATTATTTAGTTTTCATACCAAGAGTATTTAAAGTTAATCATTTTAAAAGTGACAGTTATGACAAATTTTGTTACGTAACTCAGTA